GAAGAGCTCAGAGATGGACTCCAGGACGTTCTGAGGGACGCATGGACAAACATCTCACTGGCCATCACTGACAAGGATCTTTTACTGCCAGAACCAGAACCAGAACCAACGACCAGAGCTGGATTCTTAAAATATTCGAGAGAAATCACTCTGGATCCAAACACAGCAAACAGGCGGCTGTTATTATTTAATGGGAACAGAAAAGTAAAAGTAATGAAACACCAACATCATCCTGATCATCCAGACAGATTCACTGACTGGTTCCAGGTTCTGAGTAAAGAGAGTCTGACTGGACGTTGTTACTGGGAGGTGGAGTGGAGAGGAGGTGGTGTTTATGTTGCAGTTTCATACAAGAACATCAGCAGAACAGGGAGCATATCTGACAGTGCATTTGGATTCAATGACAAATCCTGGGCTTTATATTGTGACGCCTACAGTTATAAGTTTTGGTCCAACATCCAAACTCCCATCTTAGGTCCTCGGTCCTCCAGAATCGGAGTGTACCTGGATCACAGAGCAGGTGTTCTGTCCTTCTACAGGGTCTCTGACACCATGACTCTCCTCCACAGAGTCCAGACCTCGTTCACTCAGCCGCTACATGCTGGAGTTCGACTGTATTCTGCTGGAAACACTGCAGAGTTCATGAAACTCACATAGTGTCAGAAAACTTAGATACTAACACACTGAAGTGTCAAAACCTGGATTTTAATTTACTGAAGTGTCGAAAACCCGTCTTTGAATGGACTAAAGTTTGAAAATATGGATATTTACTACTAAAGCGTCAATAAGTTAATCTACTAAAGTGTCAAAAATCTGGATATAATGAACTAAACTGTATCAAACAAAAACAAAAAAATCCTAAATATTTGGTTCAGATTTTTGGTGTTTTTTGAACTGAAAAACATCTAAAAATGTTCTGAGTCTGTCTTTACCACTGTAATAAGTTTCTATTTATTTCCTATTTAGCTCAAGAAACCATGCTAAAGGTTGATGTCTTGCACAGATTCATAGTTTTAACACAGTGGGGGTTAAAACCAGGAAGTCCTAAACAGAACGGTTATAAACATCACACATAAGTCAACTGAGACGCCCCACAGGCCTCTGCTTTGTAGGCCAGCGGCCAGCTGTGAGCCCCTGAACGCACCGTGACTGCGGCAGGCCCTTCTTTCCCAGGTCCATTCGCACTCGCTCCCCAACGTGGCGGTAGATCTCCACCAGGCAGCTCATGGCTCCGTCACGCACCTACGAGTCGACAACAAAGACTGCACGTCAGCACAAGTCACTGCTTCATCAAGTAATCACCTTGTTTAGTTCTAAAGAGTCACTCCAAGTTCTCTGGACCTGGTGGGACTCGTTCAACAACCTTAACATAAGAAAAATTCTGCTTTTCTCCTCTGACACGTTTCATGCTCCGGGTGCGTTTGCTTTACGTGTTCTCCCTCGTTGCACATTTCACTGTGTGTTCTTACTGCAGTATATTTGTGCATTTGACACCTGACTTTGTTAATCAGAGTATATTTTGTACTTTCGTGTGTTTTTCTTATTTATCTGTACTGTGATGGCGGGGATGGGGATCATTAAAGCGTTTCTCGTCTATTTCCTCTTATATTTATTTATTCAGTCACTCTGCTCCAGGGGCTCATTTCCTGCATCTCTTGTCTTCCAGAGCGCACTTGAATCGATATTTACATGTACAGGTTTTCTTTTCTGTCTTCTGAGAACACTGCTTCTGTTGCATCATGTGCATCGACTGTTTTCTGCTGCTTCTCTGAGAATAAAAACAGAAACTAAAGTCAGTGTAATGTGCCTGCAGCAGGGCTGATAAAACCCACTCAACAGAAGAAGACGACAGCTCCAGGGCTTCAGCCTGCTGGCTTGAGGAAGGAAGGGTCATGGGCACGGCTTCCTGTGTTTCTGGTGATGACAGAACTCTGCAGCCAATCAGAGGGAAGCTCAGATTTTATCCCTGAAAAGTCTGGTGTTTGCCGAGTTGGTCCTGCAGTGTTTGGGCTTCACCATCAGGGGGCAGCCCCGCTTCAGGGCTCCAGGGAAGGCAAACATGACGCTACACCAGGCGTAGTGGTTATTTAACCCCTTATTAAGCCCGAGAGGGTCTGAGGGCTTCACAGAGAAACCGTGAAACAAAGCACTCATCATGAAGGAACAGCAGAACCTGGGCTACCAGAACATAGAATCCATCTCTACACACCCCAGACACAACTCCAACACCAACTAAATGAATTATCGCACATGGACATCGATACAGCGCCACCCAGTACAACCCACTGGCCACATTTCTGGCTCCAGCTCTTTGGTACTTTATGCTAAACGCACCAACAAGGCCTCAGACGGAAGCAGACGGTCCACAGAGTCCAGACATGTCCATCAAAGCTCTCTGAGATCAAAGCATCAGCGAGAAACAACCCAAAGAACAGCACAAACCCAAACCGGAGCTGTAACATGTCTCTTACCTTATAGCTGTTCGCCATGAAAAGTTTATTTTATCGGTAAATCCACACCGGAATCAGTTAGTACTATTTCCTGTGTTACACTGAAATCATTCCGGGCGTCTTTTGGCGGCTTCGTTAGCCGAAAGGAGCTAACTACAAGTGAACACTCGCTCAGCAAGGGGCTCGTCTTCAAGATGGCGTCCTGCTGATTCTGATTGGCTAACAGTGCTGTCAATCTCATTTTGGTGGCTACCGCTACATTCTATTGGCCCTAACGATTCGAAGGCGGTGTCAATCACTGAAATCGACCAATCATTACGGAGATAGAGCCTTGCGTCACCACAGGAGCTTCACAGTAGTCTGAGCAGCATCACGTTAACCTTCACTGTTCATCCGCCGTCTACATACAGAAGAAAACGTAAGATCGTTGTTTTCTACGAGTTTATTCCAAATGCTGTAACCACTCAAGGTACCACTGAGAAAAATACAGATTTTTTTAAAGTTAATTGACAGTTTTTGCCGGTTTCTTTTTACAGTTAAATTATCACGGGATTTTACCAGATGTTATTTGGAATTTATCCCGACAAATACAATCTGAAAAACAGCAGCTAAAAGGATTATTTACATTTTTTTGATTGCTTTTAAAATAGATCATCTTATTTTTTCAGAAAATGTCTGTAAAAAGATATTATTTATCAAGTTTTTAAAAAAAAACAAAAAACACGTAATTTCATCAGGATTTTATTTTTTTTTTATAGTTAAATGATATTGCAAAACTTTATTTCTTCTACTTTATTTCCATGACATGTATGTATGTATATATTTGCATTTGCACTGTTTATTATTATTACATATTTAGTCTTTATTCTCTATATCTTTTATGTGTATTTATACGTATGTTTGCACTATTTCTTACATGTAAATCTTAACTTTCCGGTATGTGTGTACCTCTGTGTGAATCACTGTGAATTCCTCCACTGTGACATAAATAAAGGCTGATCTGATCTTATTTCTGTGATTTTACGTGACATTATTTGTAACTAATAAAACACCACAGCTTAAGGAATTACTTACTTTTACTAAACCCTTAATGTAAATCATTTGTCTTTTAATGAACAGCAAATATCTGTTAATAGTTTTTTTGTTAATTATAGTTTTGCTAATTTAAATACAGTAGAATTTGTGTCATTTTACAAACAAATCAGCAGAATTAATTAAAGGTAAAATCATCTGATTCGTCGTCGTCTGGCGGCATCGTGAACTCCTCGTCAAGGCCGTTTCAGGTTCAGCTTTATTTCATCACTTCTCACGCGACCAACCGCACAAACAGCAGAAACTACAATCCAGGTGAACAGCTGCAGACTCCAAACCCTGACAGCAGCGTAAAGCCCACTCGTGTGTTTAATGACAGAGCAAAGCGTTTCTTATCTAAAACCAAGAGCCATCACAGTCCTGCTGAGGAGATAAAGAACGGACGGCGCCGGCAGCCCCGTCTGAGAACAACAGTCATCGTAAGGATAAGAAAACAAACGACACACAGCAGCAGCAGCATTAAATCAATGACTCTGATTTCATAAAACGAGTCGGCGTGTTTTGACCCCCACAAAGCTCACCATCACACCAGTTTACACGCCCTCTTTGGATCCACACAGAAACATCTGCAAACCTGACGCCCCCAAAAGACGATTCAAAAGCCACAGCAGCTTCTGGTACAACTCGCTGTTACTTTGCATATTTTCCCTGTTTCGTTAAATTACACACAAACACTTGTAATGTGGAGGAGAAAGGTATGAATTCAGGTTAACTGCAAGAACAAACAAACAAAAGTCAGTATTACTAGATATTGTCTGAAAGTTAAATCTGTAAAAAAGCAGTGAAATGTTCCCAAAATAACGGTTAAAAACGGTTTTGTTCTGTATACACCGTAGAGACATAACAGACACAACAACAGAAATACAGTGAGATGGAAAAAATACGACACATGAAATCATCTTATTCTACGTCATTTACTTTTTTATGGATTACATGGAAATAACTACTTTTTTTTAAGTTATTTTTTGGCCTTTTTGCCTTTGTTGTATCGGACAGCGAAGAGAGAGAGAGAGACAGGAAGGACCTGCAGCAAAGGGCCATGAGCGGGAGTCGAACCCGCGGCCGCTGCACCGGGCCTTGGACACGGGTCGCCAGCTCAGCCGGGTGAGCTTTAATTTTATATAAAAGGTTTTGACCTCCTGTGGAAGTTTTCTCCTTTTATTGCTCCTCAGTGTTGAGTCATGGTCAGTTTAATTTTGCTCTATGTTAAAAACTACAAAACGCTCCTCATTGTCGAAGTGAAAACAGATTTTCACAGAGTGATGTAAAATAATTAAATGTGTAAAAGCTGAAGTAAGTGATTACGTTGGTGGCTCGTTCCTTCACCTTTTGACATGTGCATGCTTTTAGCTGCCCGTCTGACACACTTCATGGAAGGAAGCGTTTTAAACTCCACAGCTCTGTTGCCCTCGGGTCCTCCTCTCCACCAATAATTAGTTTTGTGGTAAATCTTGTCAAACCAGCAAAACAAAAGTCACGTTTTTTTCATTTCTGTGAGCGAGTGTTTCATTTTGAAGCATTCTAACGTTTAGTTGTGTTTTTACGGTGACCTGCGGCGACACCTGGTTCAGAAAGCCGACTTCAGATTGGGACTGATGAAGAGGAGCAACAGCGAGAGCTTCGGGTTTTCATCTCCAACAGTTCCTGAGATGTTGTCGTTCAAGCAGCCTCAAATTTCAAAGAGAGAAAAGTATTTGATATATCGTCTTAAATTACACAGACATCTCCATAAACATCCATATTTGATGTTAGAAGAATCCCAGGTCGAGCAGAAATTAAAAACAAGCCTGATGATTTGAGATGGAATCAGTACTGGAGAACAATCAGTCCTGAGCTGTGCCAGATGTGCAACGAGCGTCTGCTTCACTTCCTACTCCGGCTGTATTGTGTGTTGTCATATGTACATCTGCACAGTTCTCTGCTGCAACCTGAGGCAGCTCAGCCGAGGTTTGTGGGTTCGTCCTACCTGACTGGTTGGATCTCCGAGGAGGTTACAGATGTGAGGAACAATTTTACTGAGCGTCAGACTCTGAGATCCAAACCTGGAACAACAAAACACACAGATTCCAACCTGAAATATATACATAATATATAATATAATAATATATATATATAACTTATTTTATATTGAAATCTCTTCTATTTTATTTTTGCTCTTTATTTCGTTCTTTATTCTATGTTGCACTGAAGGAGCTGCTCTTAATCTCATTGTACATGTGTCGTGACAATAAAGGCATTCTGTTCTATTCTATTCTATGAAAAACGAGCAACACGGCTTCTAGTTGGCACTGCTTTGTTTCAAACGGATCTTATTTAGCGCTGCGAGTGTTCAGCTCATCATCAGATAAATTCAGGCAACAGTCCCCGGATCTGGCTAAAGCAGCTTCAAACACTCGTTTTTATTGCTGATGAATCAGTCGGTGCTTCTCTTCATTTGCTGTTTCGTCTGTTCTATTCACTATTAAGAAGCCACAATAACAGAGCTCAGACCGATCAAACCGACTGTAGCTGCCAGTTACTGTGATAGTCGACATAAGATGGATTATTCTGTTCTGAAAGAGGAAGACTTCCTGCTTTTCTTTGAGTAAAACAACCGTGTGAAGCAGCTGATGTCAGAGAACAAACAGCAAATCGAGTGTTGACTATAAATAATCAAACCAACCATTCATCATTCATCTGTGAATTTATTCTTCTTTTAAACACATATTAATGTTTAACTTGCTGTCAAATGTCAACACTCACAAAACAGGATCAGATTAATTTCACACTGGACAAAGAAACAAGAGCTTTTCTCTGTGTTGTTCAGACTTATAGATTATAGAAGTGCTTCCATCCATCCATCATCTCTAC